TCTTGGTTTTAGGCCATGGGAGGTGATATCCAAGGAGCAGCACTAAGACCGGAAAAGGAAAAAGTTAGGAACATCCCAGAGTTTTCCAGTTGCCACAGTCTTTCATAATAAACAGACTAACCAAGGAATAAGAGTGACTTTGCTATATCTCACTGTTGAGTGTCAACCCAAATCTCAGAGGTCAGAGAGGCCACCATGAAATCCATTCAGTCTGTGCTGTGTCTGGGGCAAATCAAACAGAGATGAGTCACTGAGCAAATCGGAGTGGCCTCGCTGAAGGAAGGGCCACCCTCCCTTTGGAGGCCTTAAATAGGAATCCCATTTCCTTGTCCTTTCTAGCTTCTAAAGCCGAATCCTTTGCGTTTTGTCACTCCATGCCTTTTTCTCTGCCTCAAATTGCACCACTCTGATCTTCACTTCCATCATCACTCACCACATCCCCGTCTTCTCATCTGTCATCAAATCTCTTTCTGCCTCCTTTGTAAGGACACACATTTAGGGCTGACCCAGCTAAGTGACAACTTGAGGCCCATTATTCATCCTACCTCAGGCTTCAAGGACGTACCATTTTTATATTTTTCTATTGCTCTTAGAACCTGCATTATTCAGCAGTAAATTATGGGGTTGAGTCTGTGCATAATTTCCTTGTTCACACAATTCTTGCCTTGAAAATAAACATGTTATCTATACTTATATTCTCAGCTGATTACTTTGCCTGTAGTTCATTAATTACAAGTAAAAACTACAGATTTCTAACCACTGAATATTTACATTTGTAGCATTTCTACTTTTTCTCCACTGTAACAATTGATGAATCCACTGACAAAGGTCCATGTTTGTGCATGTATCCTAAATCCATTCCCGCTCACTTTCTCAAGTTGTTAATTGAATTATTTATCTTTGGACCTACACTAATTCCAGAGATGTAAAAGGTCCAGTCTCAGTTCTTTCCTTTCTTTTTTTTTCTTAAAAACAATAACAAACAAAAAAAGAAAATAGAGAAAAACAGCCTTTCTGTAACACTATAGAACCATGATAACCACAGAGAGGAGTCTCAGAAAAGGTTGCCTTAGGAAGTAGGGTGTTATTGAGGAGGAATGTCCCATCTGGACAGGAAGAGGAATGAGGAGGCTGGTCCTCTGCAAAGTAGACTTGAGGAATACATACTTGGTTGTATGCATATGCCGACATCTATTTTTTGTTTATTTTTTTAAATAATGAACATTCATGTCTCTGCCCACTTTTTAATGTTTTTTTTTTTAATTTGTTATATGCATATGCATACTTATATGAAGGAGTAAACAGTTGTTTAAGCTTGGCTAAACAGGAAGCATATATACTTCCCAGCATTGTGTGAGAATTTCATGAAGGAAAAAATTAGAAGTTAAGAGGTTGACTCTATACCAAAAGACTCTTAAAACTGCTAAATAAATTCAGCAAAGTCTTGGGATATAAAATCAATGTACATAAATCAGTAGTATTTCTATATAGTAGTAACTGTCAAGCTGAGATTCAGATCAAGAATACAATACCATTTATAATAGCTGCAAAGAAAATAAAACCTAGGAATATAATTAACCAAGGAGGTAAAAGGTCTCTATGAGGAGAATTCCCATTCTTGTGTATTGAAAGGATCAACACTGTTAAAATGTCCATACTTCCCAAAGTGACTTACAGTTTAAATGAAATTCTCTTCAAAATAATGATGTCATTTTTTACAGAAAAAGAGAGGGAGAGGGGAGGGAGAGGGGAGAGGGGAATGGGTGGAGGAAGGGTTATTGGAGAGATCACTTCTATGGTTTATCTTACAAAGGTACAAGTGAATCTTTCTAAAAGTAGAATATGAACGTCTTAACACAATAACTAAGAAAATGACATGAAGGCTATGTTAACCAGTTTGATGAAAATATTTCAAATTGTATATGAAAACACCACACTGTACCCCAGCATTGCATTAACATACATAGTTATTATTTAATAAAAAAAATTAAAAAAGACATAAAGAATTAATAGACCAATAAAAGTAAAGGAAACAAAAACCTTAGGTAATTTATAGAAAAGAAGAATTAGTAAACAAGTAAATAAAAGCCTTAGTTAATTTATAGGAAAAAAAAGAAATGTATCTTTTCCAGCTTCTCTTGTAAAAAATAAGATTCTCATTGGATAATATAATCCAAATTTAGCATGTTTCCTAAAGTTAAAGGTTAACCTTAAAATACCAGTTTCATTTTACTAATTTATATTTGGTTTACTGTACCTTTCATATAGTACTTCTTAAATACTGATTTGTTGAAAATACAGATGATTATTAAAAAAAAGTGCCAATGACATAAGTTGTTGTCATCATTTGAATTTATGTAACAGTTAAAACCATTATGATTTTAGTGACATAGCATTGATTATATAACAATGATTGACAGTGTAATGTTCTAAAAAGAACAGAGGGAATAGTAACCAGCAGTCAGGATGCAGGGATTGGTTCTGACAGCAGAGGGCCAGGGGAGTACGACTGTTGAAACAGGATGGGAGGAGAAGAACACAGATGGAGCTGGAGTTAAATTTTAATTTTATTAGTAGGAATATAAATTTCACAACTTACATAGTTTTATAAAGTAGGAAAGATGAGGCAATCCAGTTAAAGAAAAGCACAGAAGTTTTCAGGATTTGGGGAGACAACAGCAGATGAAGCCATTCATAGAAACTGAGTAGGATTGAGCAGCAATACTGAAGGCTGAAGGCCGTTTGAAGTTGGTGACCGTGAACCCGTGGGGGTACAGCCTTGTAAGCGGCTTTTAGATTCTCAAGGCAGCCACAGACTTGGGGTATAGCTGAGTTTGTTATGGTTGAGGTTTTGCCAAAGAAGAGCAATAGAAGACAGAGGGACAAAGGAATTTAAATTTCTGCAAAGAATTATTCCTGAAATGTTTGCTTACGGAAGGTAGAAGGTAAAGTCAAGTGATACATCTGGGCCATGAAAAAGAAGTCCACCAGACGATTGCCCACGAATACTAAATTTTAACTTCTTAGTGAAGGAGGTATCCATTTTGGGAATCTGACTTGAACCTGAGCTACCCTCCTTTGTAATGGTCAGTGCTCTGTGCAGGAAGAGATTTATGGTGTGAGTAGTAGGTGTAAGAGCCTCCTCAACCTCGGCACAATCTAAATGGAAGACAGTGTTACAGAGATGAGTCGTGAAAATGGGACTGATATTGTTGGCCAGTAAAACATTACACTTTTCAGATATGGATGTTTAAATTCTTAAGGAATCAATGCGCAAACGTTCACAAATCTATGGAAATACTTGCAATCACTTTAATTCCAAACTTTTCATTAAATAACATTAAAAATGTACATTTTTCTTTTTTATTTTCACTCAATACATATCTTACATAGTTTTAAAGTTTGTATAAAATGCATATCTTGTATCTCATGCATAGTTGTGGAATTCACTTGAACTGTCTGATGTATAGTTATGCATTCCTGCCTGAATTGCACTTAAAAGTTAAAGTCACAATAGTGACTATTAAATATACATCTCTTTCTCTGGCCTGACCCCATCCCTTTATGGGTATTAGGAATATATATCTGAAAGCCTGCAGCACATCCTACATAAATTTCCCACAGGAATTTTATCTCATCGTAGCCAAACTGAATTCCTCACGTGTACTCACTCCTCTACTCCTTCACCTCTGTAATTTTTTTCTAGTTAGGAGAATCATTGGCCATTCAATGAACTATGTAAAAGCTTTGAAATTGTTTTACATTCTAGCTTTCTTCTAGTCCAAAGGCCCGTCTTTAATTAATTACCAAGTGCCGATGACTGTACTTCCTTAATATCCCAGTTAGGTTTTCCTCTCTGCCTTGCAACATCACTGCTTTGTTCAGTCTTTTATCATCACTCGCTGGTTAGTTTCAACAGTCCCTGATTTGGTTTCTTTATCTCCATCTTTTACCCACCTGTTTCTCCACGCCATTATCTAACTATGTGGCCTATGGCAGGATCCTTCATCTCTTTAATATTGGATTGCTATCACTCAGTGGATATTGCACTTGTGCTCTGATAGGGTTATTAGTATTATGCATATAGTATAAAAATTGTGTGTGTAAATTGCATAGTTTATGAAGTCTGATAGACTTTGTAGTTTACACACATATGCACATATTTGTGTGTATGAAGTCTATGAGAACCTAAGTGTAAGCAGTGAAAATCTTGTGATATAACTCTGGTCATACACTCTAGCCGTATATTTTTTAAAAACAAGCATATAAAGACAGTGTTGACACAGTTATTTTTTTAAGTCAAGATAAATCAGGATTCTCGGCTCATTCCTTAATAATTGCTTTATAGACTTTTCTTATTGAATGAAAGAGCAAGCTGCAAATCATCTATCAGTGGTAAAATGCACTTGGCTTTTAGTGCAATGCTTACTGTAAATGCCTATAAATACAAATGAGGTGTTTAAATCTGAAGATGCTTTAGATACATGGCAATACCTATAATTATAGAATCATCATTCCTGCCTGAATTGCACTTAAAAGTTAAAGTTCCAACTGCTCTTATATTGAAAAAGTAATAATAACAATTATAACCATACCATGAAGTACTAAAGCTGAACATTCAATTTGAAGGCAGCTAAAGTAAAAATGTAATGAAAGCGAACCTATAAAGGCTTACAATTCACACACACGCTCTCCAGAGTTACTAAAGAGCAAAGAACAGAACTGTGGAGTCTTTATTGTGCTTCTTTTCAGGTTCTCACTCCCTTTCTGGCATTAAAGTCCCATTATGGCAAATATTTCTCATCCATGGATCATCACCTTCCTATTTGAAAAGTTTTATTCTAAGGCACGCATAATCTCAGACTGAAACTATAAAGTTTCTAAGTATGGAAAATGTATTTTTATTTTACTTGTAAGTTCAAGTTTTTAGAAAAACACTAATACATCTTTGTTTTTTGCACTAGAGATGGCTGAGCATCTTAACAGGCTGAGCAACTTACCATCGTTTCGCAGAGTGAGTGGTGTTGGAGGACTCAGCACTCGAGCGTTTGTGACTGTGTTTTTAACCAGACAAATATAGCTGCCAACATCTGATGTTTGGACTTTAGAAATATAAAGGTTGCCTGTCTCCTGGGAAATGAACCGCCGGCTGTCTTCCGCCACAAAGGAAGGGAACTCATTAAATACCCAGCTATAGATGATCTCTGAAAGTACACAAAATTCAGTTGTTGAAAGACACAGATTATTACATGAACAAACTCAAACAACAAAGCTTTTACTAATCATTTGATGCACTGCAATGTTATACATATTTGATCCACATATTTATGTCATATGTATTTTATATACAAAGGACTATTGCTCTTGATAGGAAGATCTGAAATATTTTTTCAGGATGCCTAGCCCTTAGCCACTCATTTGTTCTTTTAATTCCAATATATATTGAACATCTGTTAGATACTCAGCACTATGATCACACTGAAAATTTTAAAAAAGAGATAATTTCCCATTCTTAAAGTTTAATTTAATAAATCATACTGATCGGTGAAAGTGATCTGAGTGAGGAGATGCCCAAGTTATGCTCATTACTGATGTAGTCAACAAAAATTGGTTAATGATCACTATAGGCCAGGAATTGTTCCAAGTGAAAAAAAGTCTAGGGTCTTGTGGAGCTCTTATGATAGTGAGAAGAAACCAAGACTACACATAAAAATAAGCATATGTCAAGTGGCAATACTGGAAAGAAAGCCACAGCCTCTTAAGACAGCCAGAAAGTGACCAGCTGGAGAAGACAAGTGGATTTCTCAGTGCTTCCTCTGACTGATGGGTAGAGAAGGACCAAGATGAGGACAAAGCAGAGAGCAGCAGGAGGGACACAGGAGGAAGCAGGAACACCATCCACTAGCCTAGGAGGCCATTTTCAAAAAGTTACGAAAGCTGCGAATCATCCACCCCAGAATGTTAGAGGTAGTGGTAATGGTGGGGAAATAGTGAGAAGTGATTGCTAGAAGTATTGACAAATAATTGCTGATGAATTGATTATGAAATGTGAGAAGAAGAGAAAAGTCAGAGATTAGAATTTGGGCCCCCAGGACTAAGATACTAGAAGAGTCTATTTGCCTTGACTGAAATGGGAAGACTACAGGAAGAGTAGATTTTTGAAAATGTGGGAGGTGTGAAGTCAAGGTTTTAATTATAACAGAGTAAATAGTCATACTATCAGACATTCAATGAAAGAAATTGAAAAGAAATTGTACTTTTGAATATAGTAGCCAATCTACTCAAATCCCAATAAGCACTAAAATTACCTATATTCTTGCAGGAACAGATTTCAAGACCTTTTCCCAGAGTTGTTTGTTTATAAGACAAGTTATTTGGATTTTTAGAAAAGTTTAGTGTGCTAGTCCATCGTACAGGAGGCTTGGAAAGCTCTGCTTTATGTCTCTCCCCCCTACCCTTTTTCTTTCTCAGACCTACTATGAATTGTCAAATATAAGCTCCTAACTCTGGCCCTGCCCTGGATCAGATGAGGAGCCTGGCGTTTAGTCAGTCTTTCTGGATACTGAAGCTGAGATGTGAAGATTATTTATCCGTATGGAAATTCAATGAAACTTATTTCAAAACTTCATGTTTTGCCTTAATGGGATTTATTACCAACATAATGTGTTCAGCAAAGGTAAATCATTAATTTTTACAAATTTGTGTTTAAGAAAGATGGAGTCATAGGCTAGCTCCTAAGAAAGATCTGAAATATTTTCACACACATTATCTTAGGAAGGTGTATCCTATGTAATCAACTGATCAATATTAAAAATTACATTCCTTTTGTCCAAATGTTCCCTTTTATTAATTTCTATTTGTGCTTAAGTTCATTGGAACTTATAGATGCCGTATAACTTCCTGATTCAATTTCACCTTCGAGACAGTTGACTTGAGGAAATGTTTAACTTTTTGAAGTTCAGTTTTCTCATTCATAAAATGTGAATATTCATTATATTTCAAACCATCTAATACAGCTTAGAACCTAATACATAACATGTATTCATAAAATATGAAAAATAGCATTTCAGTTATCATCCCGCTGCCCCAGAATTATTGGGCTAAGAGCCTGTGCGTCATTTATATATAAGGAAAACAGTACCGAGGATGTAAAACAACTCTGAAAAAATCATAGGTAAATATTATTTGATCCTTCTCTCATAGTAAATGTCAATGTTGAGTTACGTATTGATTTAGGAAAGAGTTAGCCAATATTTATTATTTTCAAAGCATCTATTGTAGTCCTTGCAGGAGTCTGAGAATTTTGAATTGTTATGTTGCACTAGCTCATAGTTACAATAGAATGAGGAATATCAAAAGCTTTCAAATATTTTATAAAAAACGTTATTTTTTTGTGGTTACAGTTATGCCGTTGGTGGTCTTTAGTCCACTTGATAATTTATTGAGAATTTAAAAATACATATCCATCCGGCTTTACTCAAAGGAGGCCCATGGAGTATAATAAAGCCAGTTCTATCAGTTCTCACATCACACAGTAGAGTATAAATTCCGGGCTTCTCACACTTAATAATATGAAATCCTCTAGGTGTTATAATGAAAGTTACATGTGTCCTTATAGACATTTTAATATTTTCACATTTACTTTAGGTTAGATTTTTGCTAGGATTTTTCTGAATTAGGGGTTTATATTACTTGAAAGTTTTGGAAAAAGGAAACAACTAAAATCTGTCATTCATTTAAACATTATTTCTTTGATACTGATAATCAGGGGTCCTCAAACTTTTTAAACAGAGGGCCAGTTCACTGTGCCTCAGACTGTTGGAGAGCCGGACTGTGGGCCCTGGGATGAGTCAGCTACTAAGCAGGACAGGCAGCAGTGGCAAAAACACCCAGGGGGCTGGATAAATGTCCTTGGCGGGCTGCATGTGGCCTATGGGCCGTAATTTGAGGACTCCTGGATAATATTTTTGGAAAAAGGATTGGAAAAGGATTTTATACTGATAATATTTTTGGATAAATTTTTGGAAAAAGGAAACAATTAAAAACTGTTATTCATTTAAACACTAGTTCTTTTATACTGATGATATTTTATTGAGTCAATGTTATATAAAACATTTTTAAAATAGAAAAAAATGAATTTTCACAAAACAGATATTTTCTCAAATTTTACAGGTAAATGAGTATTTGGCGCTCAAAAATGCTTATTTATCTCTTTAAATAAGTTTTCACTTTCATCTAGCAAAGCATTTCATCATTCCAGGAAGTATAAAAAGTAGCAATGGCACACAGTAGAATAGCTGACAACCTGAGTTTGCCTTGGATTTTTCCTGTGCTGAAAATGGAAATATTGAACTAAATATTTTTTACTTTTAATATCCCAGTTAACTATCTCTTATACGTTTTTTATTACCTGTTAACATTTATTTAATATTTGTTTCTAATTTTACTGTCATAAAAATAAGCATATAACTGTTGTAACTACAATATCGTGGTCTGGGGATTGTATAATAATTCAGGAAGATGGCAGGAAATAGTTGGCTCTGGTGCCACAGCCTCTAGATTTAGAGACCACTTTGTTTCCTACCAACTGTTGTGGCTCCCAAGAACAATTGAATAGGTACTGATTTATAAAATGGCAAAAATTTAGTAGTTAATTCATCTCAGAAGATACTGAGACTAATCAACTGTGATTTTTTTCCATTTTGTAAGTTTTCTTTTCTTTTTTAAATGGTATGTTTAAATCAAAATATTTTAAAACTTCTTGGTATGATTCTTTGGTAAGTGGATACTATGTTAGCAGATAATGACTATTTTTGAGATACCTGTGTATCTCAGGTTGTGAAGATCTCCCTAAGATTGAGCTTGTGTTTTACCAATAATCCCACTTGGGATATATCCACTGAGGATCAATTCTTTTTTTTTTTAACTTTATTTTATTCAATTTATTTTTTATTAAGTCTAATACACATAATCATGAATACATTCATGCATATGTGGGATACAAAGTGCTAATTTTTTTAATACAATCTGATGTGATTAGATCAAACCAATCAACATAGCTTGCACCTCATTTACTTGATTATTGTGCCAAAACATCTATGTTCTACACTTGACACATCTGACTTGTACTCTTGTCATGTGATCAATTCTTATACTAAAATTTACTAGTATGTTTTTGATACTGTGTGGTAATACGCATTTGACTCACAAAGCCATGTGCTGTATAGGCCTTTTGTTTCTTGTGGGAGAATGTTTTTCTTCCACTCTTGAGCCAGTGAAAGTCCTTCTATTTCACTAAGATTTCAATCATCTGGAGCTCGCCTTGATGCAGACATTGCTGTTCCAACACTGCTCTCTAGCAGACGCAGAGACTCGTCCTTTGCCGTGGCTGATCATTCATCCTTAGGGTCCCAGACTCAGGGTCTCTTTGTGTGACATACAAACATCTCACCTCACTGCCAGGATTTCCTCAGGATTAGCATTATATTAGGTATTGGATTTTAGTCCCTGACACCTGGGGATTTCCTTTTCTTTCTTGTGAGCTCCGCTGTATATTAAACTTTTCTTTGCTTTATTTTACTCATCATTTCTCAGTTTGAGTGGTGGGAAAATTTCTAGGTTGGTTTGCTCTGTCTCTTGCCCTAAGGAACGTCCGGGCCATGCATTGCAGACGTTCAACACAATTGCTGCAATTGATTCTGTGTCAAAAAACAAAATATTTTCAATTTGTTCCCTGGACAAATAAGATCATCATTTAAATGATATAATTCCACATCTACACGGTGTTTGAGAGCAGGAGTACCCATCTGGGCAATGATGCTCATTTCTTATAACTACAGGGCCATTAATGAAAAAAATATGAGAATGGGGAATGAAACTGCATACTGGACTCCCCAAAGAATCTGAGAACAATTTCAGTGAGTAACCATATGTAATTCATTTCAATAATCTTTAATATAACTGCGAGTTGGGAAATAACCATTCTTCTTTCTAATAATGCAGGTACACATCAGAGGCTTTGGGTCAGAAGATCTGGAGAGAGCACAACAGATATAGCCTCTGAGTTGTTCACTGACCCAATTAATAAGGCATCTCTCCCTCCCAGGGAGCCTGCTATCATTATTCCTGTTAGCTACAAAAAGAAAAACTTAAAAATCAGAAGCTTCTCTATTGGTATAAAGTGCTCAGCTTTATGGTTTATGTA